TACACTAATTGAGGACACCCCTTAAAATTAACAAAAATTTTGATTATTTGCGGTGGTTATGTGATTAAGACGGGTAGCAGCAGTGGTATTGGTGATCTGTGCCTTACTCATCCCTGCGCTATAATTTTTTGTGGATGAGCTATCACCGGTGGGTTTTTACCTTTTGGTTGTTAATAAAACGTACCTTTTAGTATTCTCTGGGGATAAACATTCTTAGTGGGATTAGAGAGTACAGACTATTATTCAGGGTCTTCATTTTTATGGAGCAATTCGGATCTCCACTAAAATATGCCTGCTCTACATGAGAATATCTCCTTTCTTGCACAGAAACAGGTCCCGGACCTATCCCCACATCAGAGAATCTTCTCTTTGTAAAGCTATCAGCCAAGGAATTTTGTACATATCCGCTACTGAAAAGAAGAGCCTTATCGTTTGACGGATTAGTTCTAGACATGCCATTAGGAAATAAACCATCCTTTGATAAATTTTTATTGCTTGTCAACTTCCCTTCAAAAAGATGCTCCTTATCCACACCTTTACCATACCTAGAGAAAGAGTTTACACAAAAGTTTGTGGTATTTACATTTCTCTTAGGAGCGTTAAAACAAAGATTAGAATCATTCTTCATCACATTATTTACACTTCCATATAAACCATTTAATCTATTTGCATATCCACTAGTAGACGTGGTACCACCATTTAAACTTTCCTTATAGGGCCATACCTCCTTCTCTTTATCAACCTTTGTGTTAAAATTGCTATTCACCTCATTGTTCATCTTTAAATTATTTCCATCTTTACTTTCATTATTTTATCATTCATATTCCTAAGATACTCATCTCTAGTACTACTTTTCTCATAGCTCATCTGCTCGGCTTAATAGCAGCCTCTCTTATATTCCCAACAGAATGTTTACCAAAAAGCGAAGATTCCTTTAGATTAGAGTACAACTTTACCAATAACTCCTTTCTCTCTAGAGGTTAAGTTTAAGTAATGTTAATTTCCATTAGAATTAAGTTTAAGTTTCTATTGTTAAATGTTCCATTTTCATTAGAATTGTACTATCTACTTCATCCTCTCTTCTCTCCTTAAGCTTCCTTTGTTTTATTTTTGAATTTTTATGGTGTACACAGCCAATGAAAATAAAAGGTTAGGTTAAAAAGGAACTCTTAAGATAAAACCAAATTTTTTAAATTATTTTATTGTCATAAATCACAGTTTTAAAGAGATCTAAGTCCTTGTAGATCATTGACTTGGAAAAGATTTTGTAAATATTCCTTAAATCCACTTTTGTGTCCTTGGAGCTTAGAAAAATGATCTTTACATTTGTTAGAGAATGAAAGAGTGATAGTCTGAGGTTATCCACAGTTGTACTTAAAAATGTCTCTTTATAGAAATTTTTACTAGTGTTTACCAATGCATCACATAAATCTATGGTTAATCTATTTATAGAAATATCTTTTAAGTTACTATATAGTACCTTATTATCTTTTAGGATTATTAATAAATTCTTCATCTTCTTGGGTTGAGGTGGATTTAAAAATTTTATTTTATTTTGGGGAGGGGTGACAGCATCTCTTTCTAGAATTTTCCTTTTAACTCTAAGGGAAGGTGTATATCAGCTCTCACTTCCTCTTTTTTGCCTCTCTTTTTGTTTATGCAAATTTTTATTTAACTGGAGGGATTTTTCCTTTTATTAACCCTTTATCGTATGATAGATAACTTAACGGAGCGTTCGACAAATCAGAAAGTGGTTGAATATGATGTAATTGGTATATTACAATTAATAATTAATCAAAATAATACCGTTATAGACCAATTACAGTGGTATTCTTTTCCTTTTTTAGAAATAAAGTTTTAACCCCCTCAACATGAGCGACAGAAAAAGAAAGAACTTAAAAAAAGAAAATATTGAGGAGGGAGATTACCAAGAGAAATATCCACAAGAAAACTTTGTAGATCAATACCAGAAAATGATAAATGGTGAAAATGAGGAACAATATGTACCATATCATGAAATGCCGTATACGGAAAGGTACCAAGAGAACATACCACCAGAAGGATATAGTTATGATGAGAATGGATATCGTGAAAACAATTACAATAGTGGATATGGGCCCTATCCATATCCCTACGAGTATGAGAGATGTCCCACGAATGGGACTAACTACGCTGAGTACCCACCTTATATGGATTATCAGTCAAAAAGAGGGGTCACTTCATCTCCTCATGGATATAGCATGGTTCGGGAAGAGTCTCCCGAGTCAACTCCTTCTAAGCCCTTGGATTCTGACTCGTATGAGGAAAAGAAAACAAAGAGATGTGGGAGGCAGAAAATAACAATGAAGTATATTCCTGAAAAATGTAGAAGGAGCGTAACCTTTAGTAAGAGAAAGAAGGGAATAATGAAGAAAGCCTTTGAGTTAAACGTTCTGACTGGAACTCAGGTTTTGTTACTCGTTGCGTCTGAGAGTGGTCATGTCTATACCTTTGCTACGCCAAAACTCAAGCCAATTATTTCGAACCACGAAAGGTTGATCCAGCAGTGTTTAAATGCTCCGTGTACGCCAGAAGAGGAGAATTATAGCTTTAATCAAGGAGATGAGAATATGAGATTTGAAGACAAGGAGAAGTATTGTAAAAGGGATGGCTCCCATGGGAGTCAAGGATACAACAATTATTATAGTGATGAGATATGAAAGGTGAAAACAGGCTTGTAGGAGTACTACCTACTTCATTAACCCTAGAAAGGGACATCTAGCCCTTGGTATTAAATAAACCTAACTTTGGTTTGATTTTATTTTAAGAAAACCAAATGAGGATCAAGGGGATAGCCCCTAAATTTAAATTAATAACTTTTTATTTTTAATTGTAAAATATATCTCTACTCCCTTTTTTTTCATCTAGGTAAGAATTTATCAATCTCATGAGGGTGTCTTGGGAATACGGCTTAATTAGAAGTTGGTTAATTCCCATTTTGAGATAACTCGATGCATCATGCTTATAAGACTTCTCTGATAAGAGTATCACTAAAATCTCTTGGTCTATCTGCTTGACATACCTTATAGCGGAGATGAAGTTTGTTATTAAGAAACTTACCATAAAAACATCAAATCTATCAGTTTTTAGGAGTTGTCTCATCTCATTTTCATTATTTACCACAACAGAGGTACATCCCATCTTTTTGAGAATTGCTGTGGCGAATTCACCACAGGTCATGTTATCTTCAAAGATTAAAACTCTTAATTTTGGGTTGGTCTGAGCTCTACTAGTGAGAATGTAGCTTTTTAGGCTGTTGAGATCCTCTGTTATGTCTTGGAAATATCTTGTTATGGCTCTGAGTGTGTTTATGGTTTGGTTTTGAAATGCAATATTTGGATCCTCTGTGTACAGCCCTAGAGAGCTTCTATGCGATCTTTCACTTGAAGATCTCTTTCTTCTGATATTTCCTAGCAGCTCCTTTCTGTTCTTTTGGAACATTTCATTTCTAAACTCCCACACCTGTGTCCCAAATGCCTCAAAAATATTCTCATCACTTTTTATCTTGTGAAAATCGTACTTATTGAGCTGACGCACAAATGAGCTGATGTTCCCATGCTTGAAATGATTCAATAGAACATTTCTTGTGAATTCTTGTGGGTTTATGATTAGAAATGACTTTCCTTGGTTGCGACTATTCCATCTAATCCATTTTTCGTTAGAAAGATCTTCTAACATACAATAGAGCTTTTCCACAAATTCTGGATTATTCCTATGCATTCTTAGGGTTTTTTCTCCTCTTTTTTATTTTATATTCCAGGTTAATTTATTTCGTTCTTTTGTTTATATCAAAGGTTTACATTTTTATCCTTTTATGGAATAATTCCATACTTTGACATTTTGAAATGAAAATTCCTTTAAAGATGACATTAAATCTCTTGCTAGAAGGGTAGTAATTGATAAATTAAAGTAAAAGAGTGATAAACGAGGAAATTTCCAGGATTTGACCATTTTGTGAGAATTTAAATGAAGTTAACTTAAAAGCATTCTTTTTTATTTTATAATCTTCCTTCCAGGGACTCTTTTCTTGGTTATGTCTTTCTAAGTGACCTTCTTCTTCATTTTATTTTTACTTTTCTCTACATCTCTCCTAACACTCTTGGACCTTCCAGTGATACATCTACTAGCTAAAAAGGCAAAACCACCGCCAATTAATATGGCAACTAGAAGTATTAAAATGGAAGAGAAGGGACTTTCCATAAAAAAACTTTTCAATTCCAAATAGTTCCTCCACATTTTCTGTTAAAAAGGGGGGAGAGGGTTTTTTAACTTTTTGTTTAACAAATCTTTCTTCTCATTTGTTAACTCTAAAACCAATAGAAGAACCAAACACAATAAAATCAAGAGATACAGACACCAAGTAGCTTTTAATATTTCATTTTCCTTGTACTTGGTTCTTTATTCGTTACTTTTGTGGATATCCCTTGGGAATGGAAGAGGTAGTGAGAAATTCAAATATTTTCGTAAAATTATTCAAAAGAAACCTTCTAAGAGAGTTAGAGAGGAACGTAGAACTAAAAAATGATATTTTAAAGATAGCAAGGGTATTAAAACCACTGGTTAATACAAATGTTTTACTTCCCTTAAAACTAGCAGATCTGTTAATAAAGAGGACATTCCTTAACAACTTTAACCTTTCCTTTCCAGAACCACCTTGGAATAAGAAATTTAGATCTGTAATTGAAGGGAAGGTTTCTATTCCACAGTATTATGGGGGAATATCATTGGATAAATCGAGATACGATAAAAAGATGTTACTAAGACCAGTGGTTTGTTCTACTCTTACCTTTTACAAACCGGGCTTTTTAAAAACCTTAAAATTTAACTTTTGGAGGCTAAAATTTAAAATTTCTAAATTTCTAAAATTAAAGGAAGAGTGTATAATAAAAGAAATAGAAGAGGTAATAATCCCATCAGTTCTCTCTGATAATTTAACTTTCTTGTGTGAAGAGTCTTTAATACAATATGAAGAGTTTCTAGAATTTATTTTGAAGAGATATCCATTTGGATATGTTAGATGTACAGATATAAGAAATCTGGAATCGAGTGGAATTGAACACTTAGATGGTGAATTTATAGTAAAAGCGAGTTTTGACACACAGTTTTCGGTTAATGGTAAAGAACTCTTCAATTTTAGCAATTTTCTCAAATTTTCCAATTCTGAGTTTGATACCAAGGAATGGAAAGTTAAGGAGTTTCAGTGGAGTGAAGCCTCGTACTAAGAATAATAAACAAGAAGTGTTCGATTAAAACAACATAGAAGCTTTAATTATCCGTTTTACTCTACCATTCTCTTTCCTTTATTTACCTCCCTCCATTCACGAGCTCTTCAATGCCAATGTAAATACCCAAGGCACCTAGGAAAAGATTAAACACACAAAATAGAAGGGAAATGGTGGAGTATCCATGCCTTCTCTGAAATTTTAAGTAAGACCAAGTGGGTAGAATGAACATTACAAAGGAAGCAAAAAAGAAAAATAAAACAAAGAAGGAAGAGAGATGTTTAGCAGCTAGAGCAAGGAAAAAGCAAGTGGTGATAATAAAAATAGACTCTATTGAATCCACCTTAAATGAAGATTCTACCACTACAACTTTGTTTATGAGATAGTGGAATGAACCTCTCAAAGGTGCCATCAAGAGAGGGGTGGTTAAAACATTGACAGAGCTAAGGCAAAATATTATAATATCATGCACTATCTTACTTCCTCCGACACCACCGTTAAAATACTCTTCATTTGGAAAGGGGTTGGCTATACATCCAGCTATCCCCGTTAGGATGTAAATAAGGGCAGAAAGAATATTTGCAATAACTATGACACGTGTGGGTCCTTTCATATCCCCAGGAATGTTACTTGTGATGGCTAGAATACTAAAATGAGAACAAAACCCAAAGACCACATTGCTGATGGATTTAAGGTTATCCTTTCTTAGCTCAAAAAACTTCAAGTCTTCGATTCTTCTCAGATCAGGAAGAGATCTTTTGAGTAGATAGAGAGTAAAGAAAAGAATGGAGAGCATACCAAGCATGGAAACAAAACCCAGTTTATCCACTCTTCTAAGTAGCACGCAAAATAAGCCACAAACAACAGCCGTGATAAAAAGGGTGATCTTGAGGTTTCCTGAGTTATCGAAAACCATCTCCATAGAGGAGAGAATCCTTAAGTAATACTCTGAGGATAGCTTTAAATATAAGGTAAAGGGTATTAGGGAAGTTACAAAAAGTAAAAACGACATAACCACCCTCCCCTTGCCCCCAGCTATACGCTCACTCAGCTCATCTAAATCAGAGGATGAGGTGTCTCTCCCACATTTAACTATAAAATACAAAGAAAAGATACAACAAGTACAAACGACTGATACAACTAGTGTTCCCAGTACCACGCCTAACTCAAAAAAAACATTTGGAAAGGTTACGATTGAAGCACTGATTATCGATTTGGAGAGTGTGAGCACTCCCTGAGAGGTTGAAATGCCATGTTCTTTTCTTTGGAAAGCCATCTAGGTTTGAAGTTTATTTTAAAGGAGGAATACCATCTACAGTGTAGATGGGAATTTCCCCTATTTCCACTATCTCAGAACTGATGGGTTCACCTCCACACCTCAATGAACACAGCACAGAGAAATGACAGGTCAATACCTGAAAGCCACTTTTAAATGACCCGGTGACCCAGCAAGCCATCTTAAAAATAAAAAAGTTTATTACCTCAAGAAGTGGTTCACTCCTCAACAACACCTTCTTCAACGAGAGATGTAACAAAGTTAACCTTGTAGGAATAATCCTTTACCATTTGCATTGTTACCTCATCAACTTCAACCCTCTCGATATCAAGAATGGAGGCCTTTGGAATGAAATTCTCCCTTCTTTCCCTCTCCTCCTCATGCTTTTTGATAAACACACCCTTGACCACGCCCTTTTGAATTCTTTTCATAAGCCTCGTAACATAGCCAGCCACTTTATTTCTTAACTTTTTGGATCCAATCAAAGCTACATCTTCACACACTCTTTTGTTGTGATGGAAATCATTGTCTAACTTCAAATAATACTTCTCAACTATCTGCTTTGCTGCCTTCTTAACAACTTTATTTCTAACTCTTCCCTTTAGGTTAGATCTCTCCTTTTTTAACTTACCATTTAATTTTAAGGGGGTAAATTTTTTCACGAGAAATGGGTAGGACGGGAACTGAGAGAAGCGGGAGATAGAAGGAGGTCTTACCAAATGTTATTTATTAGCTCCAGTTAGTCTCAGCTAAAATGTCTTTATTTTTTGAGTCCTTAGTTTAGAGACGAGATGTAACCCCTTGATGTACGGTGAGATAGTAATTGGGCCACCTGGTAGTGGTAAGTCAACGTATTTGCAATACAAAAGGGATTTTTTAGGGAATAGAAATGTTAAAAGTGTAAATTTAGATCCAGGGAGTAGTCCAAGGTATGTTTTTGATTTTGATATAAGAAATATTGAGAAAACAGAAAATTTAATGAAGGAGCGTGAAATTGGGCCAAATCTCTCTGTTAAAATCATCTTAAATGAATTTGTTAAGAATTTTGAGAGAGATTTCCTTCCTTTTATAGAAAGATACACCGAAAGTGAATCCATAAAGGATGACAAGAGCGATTTATATCTTTTAATTGATTTTCCTGGCCAAGTAGAATTCTTTATCAGTGATAATTCTCTTAAAACCTTTATTAAAATACTATCTAAGAAAGGATTCTCTCTAACTGTTGTTAATTTGGTAGATTCTGTCTTTTTTATAGATAGACATTCTTTGATTTCAACTTATCTTCTTAGCACGCTGGCTTTGGTACTCTTAGAGGTACCTCAAATCTGTGTTATTTCTAAGGGAGATAACTTAGGTAAATATCTTGGTGATAATGATGAGAATAGAATTGATATCAGAAGTGTTGTAGATGTGGTCAATTTAGGATCTCTAAGTCTTGATAGGTTTAGTAAGGAGGTGTGTGACTTGGTAGAGAGAGAAGCACTTCTTATCTTCCAGATCCTAGACTACGAATTTGTACCCTCTGTCGTATACTTACAATACCTCATAGACAAAGCCAATGGGTATCTCTACGAAACGGGGTTTGAGTTTGAAGATCAACTCATCTCAAGAGATGAGATATTGGAAAGGTATGAATACCAAAAGAAAAACTAAAATTTAATTAAAAGCTACTCCGTGACACACTGGGATTGTAAACCTTTAAACTTATCGACTATAACCTGAGATACCTTAAAAACATTCTTTTCTGGGTTCTTGGCATCCACTCCCCTTTCAACTCTAACCCTAATTTTACCAGGAACATTTCTCATTCCTTTACACCAAATGGCTTTGTTCAGATCTGGTGCGATCAAAACATCATCACCAGATTTAAACTGCTTTTGGATCAAATTTTTCATGTTTTTTATAGCTTTAGGTGCCTTGTACCTCCACGAAGATGTTCTTGTTATTCTTTTCAGATTAACTGTTATTTCAATTGTCTTTGATTCTTTTAAGACACTACTCATTAAAGGGGTCTTAAAAATTTTATGATTTCTTGGCCAATTGGGTTCTAAAAGGTGGGTATGAAATAGACCCAAGCTAGCGAGGATACTTCTAAGTTTAAAATGTTTATCTTTTTAATTTGCAGTAAAATTTAAATTTAAGATTGATCCCTTTGATGTGGGTAAGATTGAAATCTAAGAGACATGACAAAGTGTATTATTTCAACGAGCAAACAAGGGAGAGTAGATGGGATAAACCAAAGAAAACAGGGTATCACATATACCACATATTAATAAAGCATGAAAAATCCAGAAAACCAGAAGACATTCCAGTAGATGAGGCTTTAGAGAGATGTAATGAAGTTCTTTCTATCCTGGAAAGAAACAAAGAGCATATGGACGAGGACGAATTTCTAGCGAGTTTTAAGAGATTAGCAGCAAAACATAGCATGTGCTCATCTAAAAAGAGAGGTGGCGATTTAGGACACATTGTCAAGAACGAGATGGTCAAAGAATTTGAGAAAGTTGTCTTTGAATTGAGAATCGGTGAATTTAAAGGGCCCATTAGCACTACTTGTGGTTATCACATAATTTATAGAAGGTAACACTTGAAATTATGGTAGTCTTCCCTTTTAATTAAATAAAAGCTAAAATTAATACAAAGACACGCTCAAAATGCGACCAGCAACTTGAAATCTCTTTCTTTTTGGATGGTCTTCAAAATAAATTTCTAATATTCTGAGGTACCCTTCAGAGAAGAACTTAAGAGACCTGGTAATGGGAAAAAATGCAGAGAAAAATAGATTAACTAGGCTAGCAATTGTAAATCCAGATTTGTGTAGGCCCAAAGAATGTCACTTAGAGTGTAAAAGAGCTTGCCCTGTAAATAAAATCGGGAAGGATTGTATAACAGTGGTTCATGAATCCAAGATCTCTGCCATAAGTGAAATACTTTGTATAGGGTGTGGTGCATGTCAAAAAAAATGTCCGTTCAAAGCCATAACAATTATAAATCTTCCAACAAGTTTAGATAAGGACATTTCTCATAGACACTCAATAAATGGCTTTAAATTGCATAGATTGCCACTACCTAAACCAGGCCAGGTTCTAGGGCTAGTGGGTACAAATGGTATAGGAAAGACTACGGCTTTAAAGATTCTAACAGGTAAATTGAAACCAAATTTGGGGGATTTCGAAAATCCACCGGATTGGATCAAAATTTTGAACAATTACAAGGGATCGGAGTTACAAGCTTATCTAACAAAGATATTGGGAGGTGAGATAGAGTCTATAACCAAGATACAGTATATAGACAGAATACCAAAGGCCTTAAAGAGAATTTACAAGAAGGAAAAACTGACTGTTGGCGAGGTTCTCAAGGACAGAGATGAGAGAGGGTCTAGAAATGACCTCATCAACTCATTAGCTCTAGAAGAGTTGCTGGAGAGAGATCTAGAGGAATTGAGTGGTGGAGAGCTGCAAAGATTTGCTATAGCAGTAACTTGTCTCAAAAACTGTGATGTGTACATGTTTGATGAACCTTCCAGCTATTTGGATGTGAAGCAGAGGCTTTATGTAGCCAAGGTTATAAGGGAATTGTGCAGAGATAACAAATACGTTATTGTTGTAGAACATGACTTGGCAATCTTGGATTTAATGTGTGATTATGGATGTGTACTTTATGGATCACCAGGAGCGTATGGTGTTATAACACAACCATTTTCTATAAAATCAGCAATTAACATTTTCTTAGATGGAATGGTACCAACTGAGAACATGAGGTTCAGAAAGGAAGGTCTAGCCTTTAATATTTCCGAAAAACCAGAGGTAGATGTCAGAGATAGGTCTTGCTATGAGTATGAAGAGATGGTCAAAACATGGAAAGATAGATCAACGGAAAAAAGAGGATTTGAGTTACAAATAGAAAGAGGGAGCTTTAATAATTCAGAAATAATTCTGTTTTTAGGTGAGAATGGGATGGGGAAGACCACTATGGTGGGTCTTATTTCTGGAGTGATTCAAAGTGATGATGAGAGTAAGAAATTTCCAGAAATGACAGTAAGTCTAAAGCCACAAAAAATACTTCCAAAATTCAAAGGAACGGTTAGAGAACTCTTCATGTCCAAGATAAGACCATCCTTTACCAGCCACGCTTTCCTTACAGAGGTAGTAAAGCCACTAAACATAGAGTACATCTTTGACCAACCTGTTACAAATCTAAGTGGTGGTGAATTACAGCGAGTTGCAATCATTTTATGTCTTGGAAAAGAGGCAGATCTGTACCTCTTAGATGAGCCGTCAGCCTACTTAGATTCTGATCAAAGGATAGGCATAGCTAAGGTTATTAAAAGGTACATTTACGGTAAGAAAAAGACGGCATTTGTTGTAGAACATGATCTTATAGTTGGTACCTACTTAGCAGATAGGGTAGTTCTCTTTGATGGTATTCCTGGAATCAAAAGCACAGCATCTTCACCCATTTCTTTGGTGGATGGTATGAACCTCTTTCTCAAAAGGCTTAATGTCACCTTTAGGAGAGATCCTTCTAATTACAGACCCAGGGTTAATAAACCGGGAAGTGCTAAGGATAGAGAACAAAAAGAAAAAAACGAGTATTTTTTTAGCTAGAAGGGATACTCTTTTAATTAAATTATATCCTCTTTACCCTCAAATCTTAGAATCCTTGGGATTTCCTGGCGTCCAGTTCTTCCAGGTTACTTACCGCATTAAAAGAGTTCTAAAGGGTAGTAGATTTTAAAATTTTATTTATCAGTGAGGGGATCAAAAAGGAGAGATATAAAAATTAAAAACAAACAAAAAAGAGAAGTAGAGGGGATAGAAGTAGAAAATGGAAGGAGTTACAGTTTTATATGCTCATTTTGCCACTAGAGCTTTTATACCAATCACAGTGTTTATGACACCTTATCTTATAGAGCGTAAGAAATTTACCAATAAGGAGATCTTTAATAGAATTACTTTGTATTTTTTTATTGCTAGTCTTCTCAGTTCACTCTTTGGGCCTTTGTTAATAGAAGCCATAGGAAATAGAGACACCGTTCTTTTGGAGACTTTCTTGGAAATGACAGCCTACGGACTCTTTTACTGTATGGGAGAGAGAAACTTTCCTTTATGCATTTTGAGTGGAATACTTCACGGATCAGCTACTTCAATGGCAAGCATTGCTAGTAAAAACATTTTGTATGATGTGGTAACAGATAAAGAGTACAGGGATCACGTCTATAAACACTTGTTGTCCATAAAAAAGGCTATTGGTGTAGGTGCTTCCTGGATAGGACAGGATATGAAATTTTCAACAGGATCTCATCAATGCAGCCTGTACTTTTCATTTCTGATGCTCTTATCTTCGTTTGTAATCTGCGCATTCATTCCAAGAGTTCCATCTAAGCCAATGGACAAGGGCATTTTAAGTTTATTTAGAGATTCCAATGTATCGCCTTTTAAGAAGATTGGGGAAATGTACACACCAAAGATTGCATTCTTTTCAATTTTGAATATCATTGCTTCGAATTTGTACATTTGTTTTGCTATGTACTCTGCTAGCATCTTCATAGAAAGGAAGAAAGCTGTAAACGTTGGTGTGAACAAGCTTGGAAAGCTTCTCTACAAGATTTCATATCCTTGTAGGAAACTTTCCCAATTATTCATAACCATAGTTTCTCTGTTGGACAGATCCATTATGTATGCACCTAAATATGATAAAAATACTCTAATTTTTGGTTACATTGATGGAATAGCCAAATTAACAGCAATAGCTGTAGGTTGGGTATTTTTTGGATTTGTTAAGCCACATGAACATAATCCAGAAATCTACACCTTCGGTACTACATTTCTTTTAATGGTCTTTACAGGTATATTGGGATATACTAAAGTTTTGCTTACCTCATATCTTATTTACATCTTGGGGTCTACATTTGCATTCATTAGCCCTATAATGTCTCAGAGAGGACTTAGGGTTGAAGCGCCAAATAATTTCTATGTGATTATCTCACTGAACTTATTCTTCTCCTCTTTGCTTCACATTTCAATTTCGTATATTTCCAAGTGGAGAAATTCTGATGCTAACAAGAAGCTTTTGTATTATTTTTGGATTAACTCAGCTCTTTTTTTGGCTGCTGGTGTTGTATCCTGTAAGCTATGATAAAAATGAAATAAATAAAGTTTAGAAGTTGTTTAATGTTCCCTTGTTACCATCTTTTTATGAATTTTTATTCCGTTCTATTGGAGTGAGGATAGCTTATTTTTTTAGTTGATTAATCAAAAGATAAGTTAGAAAAACATTGCTAGGTATTCTTTTGCTAAACTCGAAGAATTAGAGGATAATGTATCACAGTTAACAAGTAAAAGAATTTTCTTCTTATCATAATAATGCATATCTTTCTCTTAAATATATTGATCATTATTTCTATGAGTCTCTTTGTGGCCGATTAAAGGCATATTCGGCCCTAAAATCAAGTTAAATCCTCAAAATGAGGGTTTAAAGGAGGGTTTTACGAATATTTAAGTTATTTTAAATAAAACCCTTATCTTAAAAAAATACAAAAGTATGAGAAGGAAAGGAATTATGGAAGGATCCGTTGATGAGAGCAACGGTGACACTCTTATTTATTAAATGTGATACATTATCCTCTAATTCTTCGAATTTAGCAAAAGAATACCTATCAATGCTTTTTTTAACTTATCTTTTGATTAATCAACAAAGTGGCATGATATCCCGAACAATAGTTTTATCCAGTGTTTTTGCCAAGTGACCCAGAGTAACGCCTTTCTCTCTTTTCTCATTACATTCTATTACTCAGATAAGAGAACTGACTTGGTCTGGAGATTAGTCACAGAACTGGTGTAGAGATGGTTGTAGAAAATGTTAGAGGAGTTACTATAAGTTTATTTTATAGATGTTAGGAGTGGAGAAAATCAGATGCTATCTCACTAAATTCAGTAATTTTAAAGAAAAGAGTAAAAGAGAGAATCAAACTGCAGATCTTCTTCGGATTGTATGGAACTAATTGGAATGACTTATATTGTTCTGAGGTCATGAGTAGTACTTCTATGCTAGTTCCTTCACTTAACAGTGAAATAATGGTTTCCATGTCTTTACGTGTCAAGTCTTTACCTCCCATAACAAGTCTTTTAATCTTATCTTTGAATAACTCAACAATAGATTCAATACTTTGGGTTTTCATATCCACAAAACTCAACTCACTTAACTCAGTCCTAAATATGGATGGGTCTATTGTCAATATGCCATCCACTAGTTCACATTCATAGAAACACAATTTTTGTAACTTAGTATAATTTGACAAAGAAATGAGATCATTCATATATAGAGAAGCCTGGAAAAGATTCAGATAAACCAAACGTTGTGACAGTATACTTGGTCTTCCATTATCACTCAAAATAGAAGATAGGATAGAGGGTTGAGTTATTGTTCCAGAACATAGAGATGTTAGTGGAAAGTCTTTTAGATTTTGCAAAACAAGCTGTCTATCTTCTTTCTTACTACCATAATTGAGATAAAACTCTTCTAAGCCTTTTAAGTAATTAAACACATCCTCTTGCTCTTTTAATTTAATTTCTTCCATTTTAATACATCCTATCGATAACTTTTTGAGTTTTGTGTTAGTAGTAGTAATGGCTTTGAGATCATTCAAAGTGAGGGGGTGTGAACTATCAAAAAATAAAGTAAGATATGTGAGACTCTCGACAATACTACTATTTTTAACAAATAGCTCGCCTATGGAACCATTGACCTCATCAAGGAAAAGCTCATCCAAGCTAAAGTGTGACAGAAGTGAGATGTCTTGTGTAGACATGTCTCCACTTCCCCCCTCTGTTCTTATAAAACTAACACCCAACTTTTTCAAGTTTTTCTGTAGCTTCTCATTTTTTAGTATTATATTCAGTGGACAATCTATCCCCCTTTCTTTCAGCTCATTGCTTGGTTCATTGGAGGGTACAACATCACTTAGCTTCACTGTCAACTCTTTTAGAGTCTCTACAAATCTATAATTGGAGAAAAAAGTGTGTGCAACAAAAAAGTCACTACAATCTAGGGTGAGCTTTGTCAAGGAATATGAATGTGATAGTATCTCTATACTTTCACTATTTGTGATCTTACATCTAGACATATCCAACACCTTGAGACTCTTCTGTAGCTTGCAGTCATTGTAAATAAATAGGAAGTCTATAACGATCTCACGATCATACATTGCACTGATGTACAGTTCTTCTAGCGAGAAATTAGATAACTTTGTAAAGTCATCTTCTACTATTTCCCAGACCATAACATCCATCACTTTCAAATTTTCTCTTAATACATTACTCTCAAGTATTATATCCAATTGATCAACTGTAAATTTACAGATGTCCAGTTGATCATCTGTAAATGTAAGCATGAAAAGTTTTAGTTTCACTAAATTGAGTGTGGCAATGTGATGTATCTCAGAGGGGTACAATAGACTATTTGTCATGTCGAGTGAGTTAAAGTAGCCACAATTATTGAAAAACTTGACAATAGTGAAAGCTTTATGTCTCATCTTTCTGAGATATTTTACAGCATGTGGTTCGAAAACAAGCACTTTTATGGGTATTTCAACATCTTTGTTGTCCCTTTTTGTCTTCAACACATCCCCTCTAAGTTTTATACCAGTCATGTCTAGAAAGGCTTGGAACAGTACAATCATAACATGTTCTCTAATAGTATCATTGTTAATCAGTTCATCGTATATTTTACAACTCTCCCAACAACTAGAATCATGCAACTCCTCGTGCGAGTATTTTCTCTCACCGGTCCATAATCTCTTCAATGACTTTCTTTTCTTTGCCTCTAGACAATGATGGTTTTCTTCTACTAGCCACATCACCGAAAACAACAAACTTTGATATAGATTTTTACTTTCCTTGGTATAGTCAATGTGCTCGTATACTTTAAACAATACATTAATTATTGGCTTATCCTTTATACAGTTATTAACGCTTGGTTTCTTTTTATTTAGTAGTAGAATCACATCAAATATTTCTTTTGTTATATCTATTTTAAGTGATTCAAGAAGCCTATTTAACATATTCTTCATATCGTTGAATATCAGAATATCACTAAGATCGTATTCACTCACATCATCTCTTGGTTCAATCATGGCTTTATTGTCTTCGCTTCCACACACAACCTGTAGTAGAATTACAAGCACACACAATATCATATATATTCTTTCTTCTCTTCTTTTATATTTTTTTTATTTATGGAATACTTTTAGTGCGTAACTATACCATAAAGGATGAAGTTGTATAAATTATGTTATTTTTGGTATTTAAAATTTTTACTTTTGCAAAAGTTACTCTCTTCTCATCACTAAATAGGACATGAATATCTCACATGATTCTGATTTGACAAAATCTCTTTTTAGAGTTAATTAATGAACGTTTGGAACACTACTGGTTTACACAAACATTATACAACACCACATCCCCACCATATACCATGTGTTATATTAAATAGACTCGTAACTTACAAACCCACTTGGCAGAACAGAACCATACTAGAACAAACCCAAGACCAGTAGAATGTTCACTAGTACCTTAGTATTAGCTAAGACAAACCTCGGGAGTGATCT